GGGTTCTTTTCGCGAATTTCTAATTTATTGTTAATACATATTAGTGAAAATGTGTGAAAAAGACCGAAAACGGGGTAAGCACGACTTCAGTTTTAATTTATCGCGTTATGTGATTCGTTTACTCGATAACGTTTAAATTTTGGGGAAATTTTCAAACCGATTGATTCAGTTGGTTGGTGAACGCTATAAATTTTCACAATATAATTAAATAATTGTTAAATATAATTACTATTATTTACAATGTTTAAATATGATAAGCTAGTCATCCGGCTAATTGAATTTTTAGCTTCGAGGAGCGTTAAGTGGTTCCACCGATGTCTATTTCGTTGCACCTTGGGGCGAGCGGATCGCACCTTTCCTTTTAAGGAAACATTTTTTCCACAAATACCTTATTTAAAATTAAATTCATTAAAAGCCGCCGCTTTCGCTACCTGCCGATCCCTTCCCGAACTCCAATCTGTAGTTTTCCGTTCCGCGAAATAAATTCCGTTTAGAGCGCAAGGGAGCCGCAGGACGAACTTCTCCCGTTCCTGCTCTCGACGCGTTTAAACTGGTGGCACCGATTCGCGTGCCGAAGCTTACGTTGACACCTCCTCGAATGTGATGCACAAGGGTCAGATTTCAGACAGTGCAAAAAGTGGAAAACGTGTAATTAACTTCGTTACCATTGCTGATATTGTTTTTCAACCGTACGAATTTCGCTGTAATTTGTTTTGGACGCATTTTATTTGTTGTTGTTTGTTCTCGCTAATTGTGTCTAGTGGTAGCTCCGTAAGTAGAAGCTTGTAATGTGCTCATCATATTGTTCCGACGGTAATCGTTCTGGCTTGTTGCTCATCGTATTAAGTTTGAGATTATAGGAGTTCGCTAAGTTGCTTAGGATTGTTAAGGTTAAGATTGTAGTTCTCTCCTCCGTCGCAGTTAACCGTTACCGAATCGCCCGAGTCTGATCCACCTGTATAATTGTGGAATAAATTCGTAACCGGACTTTTAGAAGAATTAGCTTCTACTTGGGATGTCGTAGGTGCCTGGATAGTCTCTGACAAAACTGGACTGATGGACTTAATTCATCGGTAACCGGCACGTAAATTTCTGTCCGGCGACGTTAAGTCCACTCGTCGACACCGACCCCTTTTTTTCGTTATATCGTTCTCTCCACTAACTGCTCGTTGGCCCCACCCAAAACGAGGTCCCAAATTTGCAAGCCCCAACTTCGGGAAATTCAAGCTCTGAACCGCCCAGGTCAGAGTCCCGTCGGTACAGAACGATTTGCGTTCGAATCATCGACCTATTGGGTTATGTTCGACCGATAGCTGTACCAGACAAGATCGTACTCTATCTTTGAAAGTGTTGTTAAGCTTACCATGTTCGATTTTCCGAACTCGACTGAAGTTTACAGGACAAACTTTGTTTTAACATTTCAGCAAACTAGTATCCAATGTTTGGACTACAAAAACTCTATGGGAGTTTAATATCGGTGTAAAAAAATTTTCTGGGAATATTTGCATAACAAAAAAAGCCTTATGTCTGTTATTACAGTAATGAGAATTAAAGCCAACATGTAATATGTGGAACGGATTTCCTCTGAGACTCTGAGTTTCACTGTGGCTACTTGAGTTTGACTGCGACTCTTACAACCAGTCCTCTGTTAGGTAACTAATCTTTGTGACTGACTGTTCCCATGCTCTGTATACCTTTGCGGCGTATTCGAGAGCCGTTCTGAATATGATTCATTATTTGCGTGCCATAGAATTTCGATTCATTCATAAACTCTGTTAGCTTTTGATGTACAAGTGTAATTTCAGCCGACTTTAATTATGTCGTGCATCGGACGAATGGCTACTTTTATGTTTTTTCGATGCTTCATGTCCCCTAGACTACGTTGTGTCGATTTTTAGTAGACACAAAATCTCTGAAACTTCTGGACCGATTGTTGTCAAAGCTTGTATGTATATTGGAAATGTTTTTTAGTTTTTATAAAATGACATATTTCTGTACTTGTTGTTGTTTATAAATTCGAACATTAATAATTTTGATCCACTATTCTGAAGCGACAAACTCGTTCAAATCAAACTAATTTCTACGTGACATTCTTTCGATGCATAAAGAATAAACATAAACACTTCAGGTTGTTATTATTGCTGGGAGGCCACTTTTACTTATTGAGCGGAAGCTAAAGAAGTGTAGTAATCGAGTCCATCGGGCGACTTGGTATTTTCAAATATTTTCGACCTTTCCTGACCCACAGACCGGGTCGTAGCTCCTCGCCTAGACAAGTTATAATTAACCAAATTTGAATTACACTATCGAAAAGTATTAGTAGTATTACACTGTGAAAATTGAAACTAGTTTTGTTACAATATAATTGTTAATTATGAAGTCTGAAATAAAAAAATTGTTATTCCTTTTGCGGCTTATTTTAAAATTACTTAAGTACACTTGGGGGTCGTTGGTATGGATATATCGCCGCCTCCGCGTCTATCAAGGTGGTTTTCAACAATTCTAGGGCGCTGTTCGTGCTTGTCATATTTTATTTGAACGTATGTACGCATAATGTGGCCGATTTGGTTAAACGCGGCTGTGGCTGGTTTGTAGTTTCATCGGCTTTTCATATTTTAAAACCCTACCTAGCAATTACGTTGGTGTGCGTGAGCAAATTAGCACGGTTATCACAAATTTAATTATGTTATATATAGCAATACATGATCACCGAGTAAGTTGACAACGCGCTGCACAATTAATTTAGTGAAAATGGTCCAAAACGTAATGCATCGTTCGATATATTAGAAGCTGACACTTGAACTCAATTAAGATCTATGTTGACTAACTGCAATATGTTACACCTACACCGGTTATTGTGGACAAGTTAGTCAGTTAATTTCAAATTTCGCAAATTAATGGTGATATAGATGAGCAAGTAATATCATCTGCAACGTTGCAATGCTCAAAGCGGTTAGCCAAATCGAATTTTTTGGCAGGATGAACTATTCTTTGGCAGTAGCAAAAAATCAATCTAATGCGGACTCGCACTTGCTCGGTCGCGTTCGATACTCTATGATCGCATTTCAAAATGTGTCACTTTTAAGACGTTTATGCCGTTTGAAAAAATGGCCAAAGATTAATTTAAAATTCAACGGAGTTGTTTACGACAGTGTTTCACGCGTGTGCCGAGCGGTCGATGCACGTTTGGTTCATTTTTTAAATTTTATGTGTATTAAATAAATTATTAGGGGGCAAAGAATGCCTTTCAACAGAAAAATGTATTTTTTACGTTCCTCGTCATGTCCTAAGTTATAGGTACCACGTAAATTGTGTGCTTGAAAAGTTGACTATATGATGGGTTTGTCGTTAGCTTCTGCAACGGAAAGAGTTTACTGGAAGAGAGTAAAGGCTAACCCATCTCCATGTGTTATTGCGAGTTTACGAGTATTGACAGAGGGACGGATAATGACAAGTATCGTTGTCCGATCGGAATAGATTTCATGTTTAGCTTTGTGTGCGTTATTGTTTGTGTGGATGAAAGTTACTAGCGTTTGTAATTAATTTCGTAGTAAATTAAAAATGTTGCGGCTACATCGCGTTCTTTCCGGTCGCATTTTGTCACTTTATTTTTAAAAGGTCGTAAGTTCAACTGGAGTGTGCTCGAATCGTCATATGTAACGATCCTGTAAATGATTTCAGTCTTATTAACTTTTTTGTTGTTCAACTTGCTGGCGCCCCTTATTTGAGCTACATAAATATTTTGAAGTAGGTTTTCCGATTTGCGTGTGTGGCAGTTCTTTTGAGAAGGAAAAGCTCAATAAATTTGATTCCAATAGTGAACAGAAATCAGGATTGGAATTACGCCAATTGGTAGGTCAGTGGATCGGATGTTTAAAGAGTGTCGGTTTTGTTTCATTATATTCGATTGTAGCCGTCCAACGAAGTGACGTGTATTCAAGTACTTTTTTGTGTTCAGTCAAGTTCATTGTCATTGTCTTTAATTTATTTACGTTTATTGATTCATTTTTCTTACGCTTAATCGTGTTTTTATGTGTATGTCTGTCTGGAATTTATGCTTGCTGCATCGTATAAAGCGTAATAATAAAAAACGACTTACCTTTTTCACCGACGAACTTTTTGTCAACAAGAAACTGACACAAACTGTTTAACTGTTTATTGTTGTTGTCACATCGTCGCACATGACGACTGAGTTTTTGTTGTTTTAGCTACATTCGTTTTCTCATCGGTTGTTTTTTCTTTAAGAAATTTATTTGCATATTTCGACAAAATGTTATTGCCGAGTTTAGAATAAACGCTGGAAGGTTTGAAACATGTTGTTTGTTAGAAATACGTTTTAAAATTAACATTGTGCACTGTGAAGATGTTGTAACGTCGGGTGGCTGAGTTTTGACGTCATTGTGCCTATAATGAGACATAATATGTAAATTACAAAGTACTGTTGTGTTAATGCAAGTAAGATATAATGGCAGCGTGGTATAAGTATAAAAGTATGTAATTATTATGACAGCGGAATGAGCAGAGAGCAGGCATTCCCTGGTGTGTTACACCCTCTTGAAGAGCTTTTGCTAGTTCATTATGTAGCCACCAAAATTATGAAACATATTTGTCGTGTTGAAATATTTTCCGGAAACTTTTATATTAAAAAGAACATTATATACTAAATGGAAAAGTGAAATTGTTCGTTTTATGATAGACGTGATTTTATGGTTTTCGTTTTATTTGAGAACGAATTAGAAGATATAATCCGTACTGAAAGGTTTTTGAAACAATAAAGGCTTTTAATGAAACGACAAATTAAATACCCGTTTTTGCCGGTGTATGAATTTGTATGATACGAAGTGTTGGAAGTGTGTCATATTAATTGTGAAGTTAGTCCGCGTAACAAGTAACTAAAAGTCACTTACCTGTTTATGAACTTTTCATTATCACACTAGTTGTTAAAGAGACTGTTTTCGGGAAGAAGGTAAAGAAGGGGATAAATAAATGACACAAAATAATCACAAATCATCAAGTAACTGTCTTTATTTCAATTCCATTTTCTACTATATAATAATCTAGGTTTGTTTTTGTTTTGTATATTAATATTTGGCGTGTTGAAGCACGCATATCATTTCATGCGTAGCAGCCAGTGATAGAAAATATTTTACAGAAGTTAATAACAAAGGTATCAAGGGTGCAAAGTGCCATTTGATCTAGCTAATCTTTACAATAATCACTCTAGGGCTTTGCACCCCGATTCCTAAATAAATAAAAGGAAATATTTTGATTTTGTCCCTTCATACCTATGTGCTGAAGTAAAACAACATAAACCCTTTCGGTTATACAAACCTAAATATTCTATTATTATTTAAGATTTGCTTTCCTCTAATAACGTCATTTTCAGAACATTATTTGCTAAAGTCGTTTTAAAAATAATCTTTGGCCCATTTTGATGCGTTATCCGCGTAAAATAAATAACAATATCGATGTTTCTTTTTCATGTATAATAATACTAATATTTTTATAAAACAAATCAACAAAAAAGTCCAACAAATTATTTAATAAAAATAAACATCTCTAGAGATAACACTACCCGGTGCGATTTGAACTTAACTTATTATTGACAGTTATCTGGTAACATTTCACGATTAGGAAAAAAGCACGTCCTTATGCAGCTAACGTGACCTTAGGGAACACGACTTTATACTTTAGAACAATTAAAGTAAACATGCATGTCGAAAATGCGAAAGATACAACAAACATGTCAAAATTAGAGTCAAGTTTGATATGTTCTTATGTGTTTTCGAGACAATGGAACGACTAGTGCGCGTTAGCTGAAAACAAACCAGAACCTAGAAGGCGGAGGAAGACGCACAATACTTTCTCTGTCGTTTGACCGGTACGTATTCGGGACTATCACAGAGTATGATATTTAGCGAGATTCGAAGTGGTTCGTGCCCAGTCGGTTGCGAAAAGTTGATTTGAAGTACCATTATCTATGGATAGTTCCATCGGCCGTCTAGGTCCGGTTTTTTTTTTAAAAAAGGTTGACGACTCTCTCGGATTTTTTAAAAATCAGCGTTTCGAGACGCTGCTTAATTGACTGACCCTAAATCGCAACTTGGCGCGGCGTTTGACCGAAGAGTCGCCAGCCGAAGGACGTGCGAGTTTCATATACAGTTGCACAAGTGCCGGGGTTTAACAACCACACGAGTTGCGGGGCAATGGGCAAGTGCTGGGCACTGGGCGAGTGGTTCCTTTACACTTAGACACTAATACAGCCGTTAAATATGAGGTGCTCCTACATTTTAGCGTGCAAGTTATATACTGTCATTAACGAACATATAGCTATTTATAATTATATATAAATGCTAAATAATACTCGTCGTTCTATGTTCTACGTTTAATCTGCGTTATACTTGTTAAATCTTGTATCAAAACTTTCCTCCATTCACATTATATTTTATATAAAACGTCGGATTTTGCGATATCACGTTAGGCTATGTGTATTGGTATCGCGCTCGCGCTCTTTTTTTTAACGTTGGGATATAGTATATACGTAATACTTAAGCACGGTGACGAGTGCCAGCTCGCGTAGCGCGGAGTGCTGAGCCCGACTTAGTACTTTCTAATCCTACTGACATCACATGTCTGCATGGTTGCGATAACTCTCTGTATGTACATTAATATACAGTATGTATATGTTGGGCAGCTTTTGACGTCGTCAACCTGCCTCTAAGCTACCGCTACTACTTCTACACCGTGGTGCTCGCGCTCGTTGTGTACAATTGCAGCTGCCGTCACTCCGTGTCATTCTCGATTAAATAACTACCTACTGACCTATCTAACTATCTATCTAACTATTTAGTTATTTATCTACCTATCTCTTAAGATAACTTACCTAGCTTACTTGTGTTTGTACAGGTCAAACTGAAAACAAAAGCCTCCCGGCAATTCTTTACAAATATAAACTCTTATAATCTAAACATGTTCAACATGTATGATAACACTACTGCAAGAGTAAATATCAACTAAGGTGGAAATTTACTGTAAATGATTGTTCGGTAAGGAAGCGGGCAATAGACGGCGATGGGAGTGGAGAGCCGATTCGAAGGACTGAAGAGCTGACGGTTGACGGTGGACCAGAGCGTGTAGGTTTGACGCTGCCTTTGGTTGCGCAAGTACCCGCTTACAGCCTCGAAGGTGCGCATTACCATCACACTAAGAGGCTGGGGGAGAGCCAGTCCTCTTCCGCCAACTGCCAAACAGACGTCACATCAGCGGGACACACACGGTCTTGCCGCCTGACTTCGGCCACGGACACGCACTCATGCAAAAACCAGAAACCAGTGAATCTAACGGGGCGGGAGTGTGAGTTAGGCGCTAGCCTAGGCGGCAGCCGACAGTGCAGGGTCGCAGCTCCACATCCTCTCACCATTCATTCCAACCATACCACCTAAGCCATCAGTCACTAAGTCTGCAGCCTTAGTCCTCCTCAGCTCTAATCAAAATGGATGGACATTTGGACTCCAAGTTCGATTCTGTGTGACTAAGTTGAAATTTGGCACGAACAATTGCAAATTCGCGATTAACTACGGTACGATATCTTAAATTGTATTAAAATATCACTATGTCGAGTTGGTGGCAATTGTGTGTGTTTCATTGAGCCTGAAAGAAAGAAAACGCTATTTAGAATACGCGCCAACAGGGCGACGCGACGCGGCCGCCGGCATTTCAACAGCTGTCGGCCGACACGTCCATCAAATGTATTTATGTAGATAAGTACCAAGTATCAAGCATACTACGACATCAATTCGGTACCGAGCCTCATGCTCGGACTCGGACCGGCGATCACGCTCACGCTTCTAAACCGATAAAATCACAAGTATCAGGTACTTAAGGACAAACACACTCAACATCTGAGGGACTAAAGGCGGCATGTGGCAAGTGGTACGTGAACGATGCAATACACTTATAATGCCGAAACCACCGCGTGACAAGCTCTAACAACTCTTGTGCAAAATATCCAAAGCATCCTTCCACCACCACTAACGTCAAACAAATTTAGGTACGACCTTCGAATAACACCTTGAAGAGAGTAGAGCAAAGGCTTCTACTAACAGTAGGTCTTAAGATCAGTTCTGCTACACGGTCGGAGGACACTTTGGATTTGATAGTGATTAAGCATTTCAAGGGATAGACCTACTGGAGCATGCTCCTCTACCACACTCGCCCCTTCTCGCACTCACTTCATGCCATGCACATCATTTAAAAGTACCATGCTTAGACGATATTTACTTGGTACTGTTGAATGGGAAACACCAATCCAGGCTGCTGTAGAGCGGCGCTTGGAGCTGCCATTTGCTGAGCAGGGAGTTGTGGTTGCCCTGGAATGCCTTGCCAAGTAGTGGGAACTTGCATTCCCATCCTGTCGAAGTCACTGCGGTTACCCTTTCGAACTAATCTTTGAGCCCGAAATAGACTTACCCTACGTATGACTGCTGATATCCTGCAAATTGCCCGTAGGTGTAACCTTGCATACCCTGCAAGAATTGCCCCTGCATCTGCGCTGCAGCTGCTGTGGGGAAGCTCTGCGGGTACCAATAGCCTAGTTGTTGCCCATAAGCCCCGTATGGGTACTGAGTGCTAGTAAGAGCCTGGAACAAACCAACTTGTAGCGCGCTCTTCTGAACGTCTTCCGAGAGCGCTACCTGGCTGGCCGCTGGGGCATTGTTCGGATCTCCAGACTCTTTGCCCCATGAGCATTTAACCGTTTGACCGCCAATTTCGGAGTTGTGGACTCCGACGATAGCGTGAGTGGCGGACTCCTTTGTTGAGAAACTGAAATAAAATGAACGGGTTTTTCAGTGATTATCACGCGGATGCGCGCCGAAAAGTGTGATGTCATGTCGACGAACGCGCGTTACGATTTCATTCCACTCACCGTATAAATGCATAGCCCTTCTCTTTAAATACGCGAATTTCTTGGATTATCCCATAAGGAAGAAATGTCTTCTGTAGTAAATCTTCACACAAGCCGTTCGTAATGCCGCCGCAATAGACTGTGCAATTGGTAGCACTGCTTTGGTTGTAAATCTCATCAAACGACATCGGTTTTGAATTTGCTGGAAAACGAATCACCTTTAAAATTACGGTTTACAAAATTCCTTATAAATCGTGTTATTTAAGGAACGAGGCATCTTTCTCTGTAGAAGGAGTCACTAGAGCAGCGAATTATATTCGTTCTTCGCAACACTGAAAGGAGGACTACGATAATAATTTTGATGAAACTTTTTGAAACTATTACTTTCAAAAATAAAAGAAAAAATATTCAAACAGATTCAGAGGGGATCGTTTTGTTCGAATCGAGTTTAATGTTACTATGTTAGTGTGGTCATAGGAAACGTTCCGGTCTGCCCATTAAAAAAATAAAGAGGTGCGTTAATCGAAACGAGCGATAGGGGTCGCATTAAGTTACCAATTCTAAATCACGGCCGACTTTATCCAACTTTATATATTTACAGTGGCCGAAGAGAGGAGTGCCTATTGCATCAAATGACCTTATAAACGATATCTGTAAGTTATTGTGGAGCATTAACAGTCTAGGAGGACAGTTTGAAATAAATAAGATCGACCTGGTACATCTCTCTTTAACGACTATTTTGCAGTGCGATTACGATTTCAAATGAACATTTAGTCGCGTGTTGGTTTGTCGTGACACCGACGAAGGCCCAGACACGCACATGCTGCGGGTGCCCACTGCGGACGCCGACCAACAACGACACTGCTTCCTTCCTTGCCGCGGACGGTGACAACGCTTTTTATCGATAGTCGTCGATAATCGATACATTCGCACGAATAAAGCGACACACTTTGCCAACATAAACTGGAAATAGAGCAGCCTACCCCACGTAGCCATATCGACCAAAAAGAGGCAGTTGTGCATCAATTACTTCCGCGGTCTATGGCAATCTGTCCTTCAGTCCCCCTGTGACCGCAACACCTATAGTTTTATTGCGGTAACGTCGCATAGCTCCCTAAAATGCATCGTAGGTCATCGATGGATGCGATACACGTGTTGACCCAATATGACGTCATCGCTGTCAAAATGACGCTGCAAAAACTAGTAGATGACGTGGTAAATTATTCAAATCAGACGAGGATCAACAGTGTGCTGAAACTATGAATTCAGAATTCAGTTCGATGGCCTTGCCCAACGACGAAGATTACGTGGGCGTCAGGGTAAAAAGTAGAGATTTAAGGGTAGGTAGACGGTAGTTGACTAGTTGTTTCACGTATAGGCATTCACGATCGGCATCGGAACGAACGGCCATTTAGCGCCGGTAATCAAATCTGGAGCGCGTTATAGGTACAGTATCGTGACTATAAATAATATTTACTTGACAGCTCGTTTTGTACTCCAACTTCCCTAGAATACCAATTGTGCATAATTTAGTGTATCGCATTGTGACTCAGCCTTGGAAAAAGTAAGAAGATCCGCGTAAGAGGGATTCTGGACTTTGGTCTTACGCGTTGCATGTCTGGTTAGTTACACAGGGCGTTATCATTTCGAACAAATCAATAACCTTGTGTAAAATAAATAGGTATCTGCTGGTCATCCGTTCCGTTCGCCTACTTAAATAGGGGGAAAACAGGGCAATAGGTAGGATCAATGAGGAAGTCGAGCAAGAAAAAATTGAGAGTGTGGGTCAAAGACAAAATGCAGAGAAAAAGAGGGCAGAAGGCCGGAACGATTCATGTGTAGATTATAGGGTTGAAGATGCGCGTGGAAGAAGTAAAGTTGGGTTAACGCAATATTCAGAATCGACGGCGAGTGATTAGTTCGCGGTTGAAGTTTCGTTCCGATTTAAATGAATACGTAGATGTAATTTGTGAACAAGATGAGGAGAAAGAAACTGAACGGAAGGCCGTCCCGTTTTGTGCAAGTTAGATGGGAAAAGTTGTGAAATGATTTGAACGGGTCAAACAAAAACAGGTTGGCGCTGAATGTCCGGTTTGGCGTCTTCTTAATCTGCTGTCACCTGTGGGAGCGACGGGCTATTGGGAAGTCTGGATGCCATTAACTCAGTTTGACAGTAAGTGACAACTTGTCGGTGTGGAGATTATGCGCCTGATAGGGGAGAAAGAGGAGGCGGTCAAGATGCGGAATTCGGGTTCCCTGAGGAGAGAGAGTGCGGCAGTCGGAAGTTTGGCCGGTGACCCAATCAAGAAACGATTCTGGAACCGTCAGGAGTTATATACCTGCGGGGGGCGAAAGCGCGACCGCTCTTCCATTACATATTCACATATGCGGTCGAAAGAATAAAGAAACTTCTGATTTGATGTATGGTATATAGGGTTATAAGTAAAATAGCTCGACGGTTTTACTTTAAAATCAAACTTAGTGTTTTATTTTACTTGCGCGCTGTTTATCCCCGCCTTATAAAAATACATTCCAAGGAAACAAACTTTAATGTTTTTTACCATTTGAATACAAATAAGTCCCCTTTCTCGCTCCAAGTATTATTACATTCTAAATAAATATTGTTACGCGACAAAATAACACCCAACACGTCGAGTAAAACAAAAGCCCTTCCGCTATAATTGAGGCTCCAAATACGCTCCTTACTTCTGGAGTTGCGCATACGGTATCATACCGAATTAGTTTTTGTTTATTTTACCAAATTACCAAACGCGCAAGCGGTAATTTCGGGAGCCATCAAACCCAAACAAAGAAAATATGGACGATATTGTCCTTGTTAAAATATGGAAATGGAACGACGCTAACACACCTAAGCCCGGCTATATATCCGAATGCGCATTCAATTTGACAATTCGAAACACAAATATCCGATGCACTCTTGCTTATCTGCCATCGTCTTTTACTACCCTCCCGAAATGACAGGGAATGCTTCCAGGCTTTTACCACGTTGCAGATTTCGCACTTCCTATTTATTTTTATTAGCTTCTACAAAAATTCAAAATTCCATTTCACAAGAGAAATAACCTTCATTCTGAGATTTATTACTAGTAAACCATTGCCCCTTCTCCAAGGACGCCGGATTAATTTTGACGTTTTTGGAGACTGAAGTGATATATGTACACCCTAGCGGATGTGATAGGCGTACCCTCAAATAAATGGCAACATGTCTTCCAACTTCCGATATTTCTGTTTCTCATTGACTCGGGAGGATGTCTACTTGCTCATTCTGTGAACGAAACACCGTCGCGTTGCTCAATTACGGCAAATATGAAACGAATTATAACGAACCTTAAAAAACTGAAATGATTAATTCCTTTTCCGCTATAAAGCAGACTAAGCCCTTGTGCACCTGGAATAGTCGGCAATAAATCTGTAGCTCTATCATAGAATTCTGTATTCAGATTTATTCATTAAAGTATTACAACGATATTCCTGAAATACCTATATATATTTCTTTTTCAATGCGCGCATTATGATTAAAATATTGCTTTATTTGTATTTCGTACCATTAATTGTCGCTGATACAGCACTGGACAGATGCGCTTAGGAAAATCAATGATTATTTTTGTATGCGTGACTAGTGACTCACTTCTTGTTCAAAATAAACGTTGAAAACGAATGTTGGCCATTTTCATTCCGGATAAGAAACCGGAAAATTATACATATTGAAATTTTCAGGCATATTCTTTTAATTTCTATGCAAATGATAATTTGGGTCTGACGTACATGTGCCGAGTTCCAGGTCTAAAACTGTTGATTTATAACACCTACAGCGAAAAAAACTCGCGTTATTTTTTGGACGATTACCAAAGTTTTACATTACAAAAATTCTGAAGGCATTTTTTGTGGGGGAAGTTAATGTAACTGTCACGTGCTAAAGTAGCGAAACTGTAGCAATTTACATAAAATACTTTCCTTATTTTTCGAGTATCAATATTTTGTCGAACGGAAACTTACTAAACAACGGTTTGAAATAAAGCTAGCAACTTCTCGTGGGAATGAATGTGTTCATTTTTACTTTGTAATCTTGTAGTATTGTAGTCGAGTCCGTCGGCCGACTATCTACTTTTACGTTTTCTCGATCTTTCATGACTCCTAGAGTACGAAGCGATAGGTCTACCGTTTTCGTCTGTCTGTCTGTTTATCTGTCTGTCCGTCTGTCTGCCGTCCCCGGATTTTTATTAGACAGATAATCTCCGAAAGTACTGGACCGATTGTTGCGAAATTTTGTATTTATATTTGGAATATCATGTAGATTGTAAAACGGTAACCCAAATTTGGATAATCATCCCCACAAATAATGTGATGACGTCACTTCAAAATTGTACATAGTAAATGGGTTTTAAACTGTATGAAGTAACATAGTCCTACATATGTAGTTTATGACTCCGTGTTGAGTTTTTACCCGAAACGTCCAGATTTTTCGAAAAAAATCAAAATTATAAAACAACATTTTGCAATTTAATTTTGAATCTGCAAAACCGAATGCTTTGGAATTTTGCAGATGCATGGTAAATAGGTAAACAAAATATATGTCCCCCCCCCAAATTAATGACGTCATCTCCAAATTTTTCCTAATAAATTCTACACAAAATGTGCAAAATATGATGTTCATTGTACTTCAGAAGCGAGGGACGTCAACAATTTGAAGTACACGTAAAGTTTTTTAAATCTCTAACAGACAGGAAGACAGACAGTTTGACGGAAATAGAAAATCCGCATTTCTGTTTTCAACAAGCCATGAAATGTCAATACCTTATTTCCCACAGCTATGCCTCTGCCAGCAAAATACTACTGGCTACGAAATTTTCGAAGCTCTGTGTCAATTTTTATTATATGAACTATTTATTTAGTAACATGGGTAAAGCACAGCTGTTTAAATAACGCTGTGTATAAAAATTATAAAATTCATGTTTAAAATATAGAATAAAATTTATATTTTATGTTTACAGAGGCAGTATCAAAAATGTTTGTATTTGATGGAAATGTATATTCAGACTAACTAAAAATAAATATTCGGATTTTTTTTAACTTTGTTTTAATCGTAAATTTTTAGTTTAAGAAATTTTCGCATTCAAATATGATCAGACCCAAAAATTTGTTTTCATTTTTCGAAAATAATAACGAATATTAGAAGATATTCGATGAACTATAAAAAATTGCGATGACACAACTAATGAAAATCCAACAATGTAAATTATTGTATTTACCGTTTGACCCAGAAAAAAATTGATTTTATAGGACTGCGTCAGCGAAAGTAAGCACCGCTGAGTCAGCTTAATTCGCACGTTATTTCAATGTCACCAGCGTCACTTTTCTTCATCGACCAATTCGAATCGAGGTCAGACGCACGCGCCAAATTTGAATTGTATGAATGTAGACATTTTACTTAGCAAATGTATTTATGTTTTTAACTTTTTGATGGGTGTAATGATATTAATAACATACCTTCTGATTTGGGTGCCGGGGGTTTTCTTGTTGCCCAGTTGGTGCGAATGCTGCGGCTTCCCAACCACTGTCCGTTCATAGCGTTGATGGCGCTTTCGGCTTCCTGTAACCAAAAAACAAGCATTCGTCCATATTAAAGCACGTTAAAAAAAGATTCGAAACAGTGGCTGTATTGTTTTAGCAAATAAGCAAATCTAGAAAGATAAACAAAACGGAAATGTAATGACAACACGGCTGACTTTGAAGGACTGTAGAATTTTTCGGTAGATAAAACACGTATTTTTAATAAAAGCACCGTTAAAAAGATAATGAGAGCGAGCGGGGCAAAAAAAACGCAATAAGGGCAATAATAATTATCTAAGTGTTTGTAATCTCTTTAGGTTGATCGAGTGGCAACTGGGCGCGAGGCGTCGAGCGCCAGTTGGTGGAGTTATTAAAGCGAGGCGCTGAAAGATATAGAGACGGACCAGCCTCCATGGAACGGTAAAACAAAAATATTTATACAATTCTGGCGAAACACCGACCAATTCTTTCGACAAAAAAATCGGCCGGTTTTGTCCAGTCGTATTTTCGAAATGGCGTTCCAGATTTATAAACTCAAATTTTGCTAAACACGAAAGGGATAAAACGTTTATCCTCGGAAGAGGAAGAAGTTTTTGGGGTTAGCAGGGGACAAGATTTCCTAACAAGTATTTGTGTAGGGAGTTTCAAAGGAGCAAGAATTTTGTTGTTTTAAGCAGCCGTGCGAGTCCTCTTTCCGTTTTTGTATGTTTCCGATGGGTCCATTTTTTATTATAGAAATGTCATTTAATCTAGATAAAAGCGGCTATAAGCGCAAATGAAACGTCCGAAGGAACGACGTTCGCAAATAGGTAGCGCGATTTAATTCTATCTGGAACACCATACTTGTTGCAAAACCGTACCGTTGCGGCTTGGAGAAATGTTCTCAGATTACACGCTTCCGATAAAGGTGGGGGAGTTATGACATTGCTGCTCCCCCGGCAATTTCTTCAACTGTTCCACGGCAATCAGCCAAATAAGACGGTTGCCGAGTGAACATGTGTTTAGATATTCCCTTGCCATACGCACATGTCATTGACAACGAATCAACAATTTCCCTTTCGGATGATCAGACAATTCCCTCTTGCCATTATGCCACAACTGCTGCACTTAGCCAGAGCTGGATGAACACACTTATTCGGGTTACGACTTATCTTTAGAATTGCATACAATTACAGTTCAATTCAGGATTACGCTAAGCGACAATGCCACACCAAACTGCCATCCACGAACGATCGCTAAACGGACACATTGCCGTATTTTAATGTGAGAGAACGAACTTTCAAGAGAAATTTTTCTGGCTGCACAATGTCGGGAGCGTCGTTCGCGTTCAGGAGTTCACTATAGCAAGCGTGTAGGACACAAAAATGTGTCTTGATCTTTATAACATACATATACTTGTACCACGAAACATCTTCTATATTTTTATAGCCAACTCAACATTTCGTTTAAACTATTACGCACACCTTCGTTTCCGCCAGTGCGATAAGGATGCGGCTAGTACACTTTATTATATGTAAAATGCCACTGTATCACTCGCAATGGTCTAATAAATAGCGGGTTGAATTGCTAGAACAAATAAAGTATTCTCTTGATATTTGCTGCGACAGTGTCTGAGACAGCTGCTCTGTCTTAATGTAATTGGTGCAAATTTAGTGTGAATGAGCGTTTTGTCGATGACAAAAATGTATAAATTTAGAGGTTATAGTCTGACCTGTTTCTACTTTGTTACACGCCACGTAGTATTCGACAATGCCGGGCAATTATCCATTTATTTACGACAATACTGTATTCCTAGAGCTATTTAAGTTTCATTTGATTCGTGTTGACGTTCTTTTATAAAAATAACAATAAGTCACGATAAAATTATTCTGTTTTTCCGCCAATTTTGACACAACTTGACTGCCAGCTAAGCGTGTGTGCGTGTTTTTCTACGTGATTTTGTTAATAGTTGTGGTTAAGCCGATTAGGCGGACTACCCTGTTGAACTTTGTTTTGATACACTGTTGTTCATATTTTACCCTAATGGTTTCCCAAACAGCCTGCATTGGAGAGTGCTTATGTTTCTGTTGATGAAAAAAACATGTGGAGCACCTGTTTCCATCATCATTGTGTTCTATTTCGAATAAATAAAATTTGTCTGCGCCTTTGCAAAAAACGACGGATCATAAAAAGCCGTGTGTTGGTTGTAGATTGATTAAATGTCAACTGAAACGAAAATTAATGTACAGTATAATAGTTTATGATAGGGGGAAAATTAAATTAGAAAAGTTTTGCATGAATTTAGATCGCATGCAAAAACATAATTGTCATATATCGCTATTTTTAATTTTTGATCAATTTGCAGGAAGCGTCGTTTACCAGAGGCAAATTTTAGTCTGAAGGATGAACGAATGTGTTAATAACACGATTACGGTTCGCACTGACGAAAGCCTTTTAAAACTGTTTAACATTTAAACAGTCGGGTGTGAATCCTCTTTCCGTTTAAATTTTTTACGATTATTTCCTTCAAATGCGATACTATATTAATGCGTACATGGAACTGTCATAAAGTATGCTAAGAAACGCAACGCGTCGTGAGTACGACGTTCGGATTGTTTAAAATTGTACATAAATAGTTATGTCGGATTGGCGCATAGATCTTAGGAAAGTCTGGACCAGTGAGCGTTATCCAATACTTAGTGCCTAGGATCTTGCGTCGTACAGTTTTTTTTACATGGTTGGACGTTTTAAAAGGCCTACGCAGATTTAAACTAAATTGTCTGTAACGTGAATCTAATTTATCCTTTAGAAGAGTTCCTTTATTGTTTCTTTTTTGCTTTCGATCGTTAAAGTGACGCTAAAAATGTCAGGCTGCTGTTAATGGTTTGGTTTGTAGTCGAATTTCGTCTCGTTCGGAAATATTTTCATCTACCTCTTCAACAAGCGTGGTGTTTTAAATTATTGAAATAAACCCAAACCAAAAGTAAACACAAACACTTGTGACAAGTTTAATTTGTTCACGAAAGTCAACAAAACCCTGTTTTTTAATCGGTTGGGGTAGATTTGTGTTTTTTATTTCGACGTGTTCCGAGAAGAAGTCAGAAATTGTGCGTAACCGCATGAGGGATGGTGTGACAACTTGTTTTGTGTGTTATTTTAAAAAGTTTAATGCGGTAGGGACGTCGTGGTGCCTTTAATTCAGCGCAAAGAAGCAAATCTTGATATTTCTGTCGGGATTTGGTTTTCGTTGTCGCGTTAGGTGTGGAGATTAGTGTCACGTTATTGTGGCGAAGTCTTGGAGTTAAAATTGTATTGTTAAAAGATGTGTCAGACTGTGGAAGTGACCTTTTTAATAACGCGCCTACAGGGTTTGATTAAAATTTTAGGGATTAAACGCGGTCCGTTTAGATGTGAGTTGCGTCGGAAAAATGCGGAATGAAAATCGTTATGTGCGGGGTGCGGTTGGGAAGGAAACAACAATCATTTAATGACAGTGGCCGAGCGTGGAAGTTCGTGATTGTCGGGTTACTTCCCTAATCCCGGTGATAGCGATCGCAGTAAAACGCTACTTGGCGAGATCAGGATGTGTCCATTAGTAAGTAGGGTCTAATTTTATAATGAGAACGTTTAAGTTGGGCATTTGAGGGTTTTTTGTCTGGCGTCCAGTGTCAGCGAATCGATGCGGCATGATCACAGGTTTTGGGATTGTGCGGGCATGCAGCATGGCGATTACCATTTTTTATGAATAATTTATGAGTAAGCAATTATTTTAGTGGGTGCAATTTGAATAAGACCGTGGCCTTTTAGCGCTTCGGACCTAATTGACGGTATCGCCTATATTTAGAGCGCCTGTTAATAATTAACGCAAAATAGCATCGCAGTGGTCCGCAGGACCAGTGTTAATGTATTACACACCGAGTTATCGTTGCCGTTGATTAATTATAATGCGGTCGGTATAATCTGCATAGGGTTTCGCCTGAATCGATTATTCCACGTCAACGTCATAACGTGTTCACGTTCCCACTCGACCATGCCATCAGGATTGGGACTTCGTTTAGCCGACAACGGAAAAGGTTGGGCCTAACGGCGCCTGTTTGCTTTATATTACTTTTTACCTCTGCAGACGTACAGCGTGTTTTAATAAACTCACGTCTATCAAATTAACGCTTTAAAGCAGAGAAGTTCATCAGCTGCTATTTCGCAGACTTTCCTTTCATCGAGAACTTCACGCCGGATGTCAATATGCTTCCTAGACTTCTCATTTTTTGCTCTGACGCGTTATTTTATTACCGGGAAACGTCAATCCCTGGATTAAATTATACAAGATTTACTTTTTTCATTGCTCAAATTAGCTCACCCTCAACGTGGTCACACCGCCACCAGAACACCGCACCTTTTAAATTCAAATATTACCTAAATTGATACTAGCTTTAGCTAAAGTCGACTGTTCTCAATTTAAAACCGTTATTATTCGTAATATTTGTTTGTTTCTGTGTGTGTGTTTTTTTTTTTTTTTTCTTTGGAACGAACATTATTATTAGTAGTACAAGGAAAAACGCCAAGTCTACATTCCTTCGCGAAAACTCGGGAAACATGTAATTAATTTAGTTATAAAAAGACTAATTTGTTTAATACTGCCGGAATTTTACGATCCTATTATAGCCGAAAGTTTTTTATCAACCATTACACAAACCCTTAATTTTTGTTATTTTCTAAATAACTCGTTTAGTTATAAAGATATTGATCTGAAGCTTGAACTAGTAATCCACTTGAAATGATATGACGTGGTGGTGAGTTTACGAGTTATTCAACTTTCGTTTCATATGTTCAGATTGGCTTGCTCAAAGCTGAATGTCGGAGCTGATTATATTTATTTGACGAAAGAATACGTTGAGACAAAAACACTTAGTAACGTCTTTATTCTCATCTACGATGTACGCAGTCGATAATTTCTTGAAATTTTAATGTTTTTTTCATTGTCGAAATGCAATATCTTTAAGAATAAAACTAAAAAAACTCATAGTTTTTCTTGAATGATGTGTTTTAGCTGGAATAGAAGCT